TACAAACCTCAACAATGGATACACCAAGTCAAGAGCGAAGGGAGTCGGCCAAGTCGTCTGACACTATACAGGGGAACAACACGAGTTCAACAATAACTCCACGCAGGACAAAATTATTCTCGGGAAAAACTTGTGTGTTAGCGGGCGAGAGGCGTGGCTCTGTTTTTATATGATTTCAGGAGGCCCCAGGATTGGTCTGAAACACCAACGCGAAAAGAGGGGGCGTTCGTAAACAGAGGCGGGAGGTGTCGAAGGGGCCCTGCGACGACCACGTTTATCTCGCGCATCGCGTGTCCTCGGGGGGTGGTCGATGATTAACCGGGTCAAGAAAGGGGGACGGACAGCTGGCTCGCCAACACAAAGTTACTTCACGGGATTTTATGTCCATGTGAAAATGGGAAATGAAAAAAATGGGAAAACGGGAGCCGAAACTGGCGGGGGGAGTATTCAATCATGTACAATCGAGTAAGGGAGGGCGGCCAGCATTCGAGGGAGGGACAGCCTTCGTAAGAAGTAAACAATCATTTTTAGGTTGGACGGGAGTTTCGATGGAGAAGGAACGTAGAGAATTCCAAACTTGTTCAGCAGGAAATAACATGCTCTTTAATTATATTTTAGGTTAGCCGACAGTAGTTTGTTATACCGCACTGGGAATTACTAATCGTAAGCTAATATTATAAGGAGCAGCTGTGACATGATGTCACGTTTCTCTGTCACGCCGTACGTGCAGCTGAGAATTCATATCAGCTTAGGTTTGGTTGTTAAGTCTTATGTACGTGAAAAAAATGGTTCGCCGATAGCCCCAGTTTTTGTAGCAACTTTGCTCACCCCTAGCTCAGAGTTATTCGGACCTTGTTTTGAATTAGGACTTGTGGGACTTAACACTGTTTAAAGTGGGAAAGAAGGAAGAATTCCCCGTGACCAGTAAGCTCGTCAAAAGTAGGGCTGCAGGTCAGTTCCAAAAAGCGAGAAAATAATTTATGCATAGGCTCAGGTTGCATCGAATAAAAATTATACGACCAGTAATTCGATTTGCAATAATCTGTTCAAAGATTCGGAATTTGATAAGTCATTCCAGGTCAAGTGAAGCTACTGAAAAGGGAAGCTTTGCGTTTTAGAAGCCTCCACAGACATCCCTAATTTATATCCCTTGTTCAATTTAGGCCCATCGAATCACATCTATTTTACGTGGGATTTCAATGGAGTCAGTCAGTGAACGAACTCAGAAGAATCTTCAGATATATCCCAAGATTACACATAGCGCCTCGGGTGAAGAATGAATGGAACCAAAATCGAAATGAAAACCGCAAAGGGACATGGAGTATTCACACATAGTAGCAGAACGGTTTAGCTAAGCAAACCTGGAGCAGTTAAGTAAACCTCGGACATATGAGGTATGCCTACCACATTATTTATCATCCGTCAACCCTGATACAGGGTTTTTTCTGACATAGTTGGCTCATGGCAGCTAAAGGTGACTTCATTACTTAAGTAACCGCGAGGAGACTTGGAAAAGGAGGGTTGTGGCAGCCTGAATTCGGTAGTGATG